AAGTTCTGCCAGCAAAAGCAAAAAATGCAAAATCATTAATAGGTTCATTTGAAGCATCCCATATAACTATAAATATTTTCGTTATCCTCAGGAGCCGGCTAGTGAAGCGTGAATTTAAGTGCAAGGAGTCATAAAACTGTGCTGTTACCCACGATCTGAGTGATGCCGTAAAGGGGAACTTTTATTAGAATTTAAATTTTATATGATCCAATGATTTATGAAGACATTGAAGAACAAACCAACAGCTATGGATAAGGGATAAATGGGAAACCAAAGTAAACCCATATGCTTCTTCATTTTTCATTTTTCTATTACTGTGGTTAAACTTAAAAACATTCAAATTTTCTTTAGATTGTGGTGACACAGAGCTGATGCCACATATTGCTTACATCTTAGTGCATGGATTTCAGAAGCAAAATCAATTTAAAGTTGAACTTTTTCTTCTTTTTTATTTTATTTTTTATTTTTTATTTTTTTAGCTTTGTGCTAATATTAATTTACTAATGCTGTTGTGCCGGAGGAGGAAATTGATCAGTCTGCAAAGTAATTGCACCAATTCTTTTGACAGCATGATATGATTAAGAATAAAGAGAGGAATCAAACTCACCTTGGGGTTTAAAATTAAACAGTGGAGGCAGCGGGCGTCCTGAAGGAAGTCGTGTATTTGGGTCTCTTAATTCATCAAAGAAAGGGTGAACACAAGCCTCCAACTGCAGTAGCACCACCTCAGACAAGCGCAGACATGGAGAAAGAGTAAGAAAAAGAAACAAGATTATTGAATGATGCTTCTAATAGTTTGCACTCAAGGTAGCTAAAGGTTATGAATACAATAACTTACAGCAGTGCAACGGAGATTAGGAGAGTATTGAAAGAACCTACAGACAAGGTCTACTGCTTCTGGGGGTAATTGTTTCTGGAAGACCTGTTGAGGAGACAAATCAAATTAAATCATTCCTGCAAATTAAAGTTTGGCATGCAGAGAAAACCAGTCCAAGAACCATGTCTTAAATTCTTTTTTTTTTTTTTTTTTTTTTTTCCATTTTTGAAATAGATAGCACTTACCATTTAGATAAAACGAGAAAGAGGAAAAAAAATACATGCATACCTTGTGCCAGGGATGTGGCTTTATCTGGGGGAACTTAAACTCCGTATAGTTTGGATTCATGCACTTTATCTCTTCTCTGGTAGGAGTTCCCAAAACCTAAACAAAAATTCAAAATACAAGGACAGTTAGACGACTACTATGGAAACTTGAAACATCACGATGTATCAAAATTAAAAGCTAGCTTAAGCAGGCATAAAAAGCAAGAAGATTCCCCACAATACTCAAGAATGGATATCACCTTAATGATCTCTACTAGTTGGTCAACTCCACTTTCACCAGGGAATAGAGGCTGTATGAGAATTGGTAAGTCCAAGACAAGTAAAAAAGAAGATATCCAGCAACAGACAAGATATTTTAATTAAACCAATGAATCTCAAACCACCTGTCCGAGAAGCAACTCGGCCATCACACAACCAGTAGACCATATATCTATAGCAGTTGTGTATTCAGTGGCACCAAATATGAGTTCTGGAGCACGATAATATCTGGAGCAGATATAAGAAACATTGGGTTCTCCCTTCACCTGATAAATGGAAGCAATTATACTTGGCAAACCAATAACGGCCAATCAAGACAACCACTAACTGTGCGATATGGCATGAAAAATTACCAGCACTTTTGCACTTCCAAAATCACAAATTTTTAACTGATGTGTATGTGGATTCACCTGTACATTAAGAATAGCATTAAGTATCAAAAGAGAAGATGGCAAGGAGGGAAAAAAGGGAAAAGTCACAAATTTTGCTTGATCCTTAAAAAGTATAATGAAGTTTCTTCTTTGGCAACTTACTAGCAAGTTTTGAGGCTTGATGTCACGATGACATATACCGATGCAGTTATGTATGTAGGCAAGTGCCCTGCAAATCTGCACCCCCACAAGATAATTGGTCTATCAAGGAAGAGGAATAGAAAGCGATATACTAGAAATTTTTAGTTTCATTAGAGTTTTGAAATAAGCGGGTATACTCATGATGGGGTTTAAGGCCAGACTTAAAATAGAAAGAAAATAATTAAATGTTTGTACTTATATTCACCCAAAGAGGAAACATAAAAGTGGATACATACCTGATAGGTATAGAGTTTAACATGTATTAGAGGCATTCGTTGGTGGAGTCTGCTGTAGTTCTTTGCAATACGATTAACAGGTTCAGGGACATACTCAAGCACAAGATTCAGATACAACTCTTCCTTGTCTGTAGTTGAAAAGAAATAATGCTTAAGGCCAACAACATTTGGATGGTCCAACATTTGCATAATCTGCAACTCCCTATTCTTGTAGCGCTTGTCCTGGAGGACCTTCTTAATTGCAACAATTTCTCCAGTTTCCCTACATTTTGCCTGCAAAAAGCAATTAAATTTTTTCAGTATGTAATCAAACATAGCTGATTGGAAATCAGATTAATGAACTTAAATATTTACAGAACTACTTACTTGGAAGACAACACCAAATGAACCTGTTCCAATGACATGTTCAGAAATATAACTGACTGTCTGCCACCCCCCAACCAAAAAAAAAAAAAATTTGTTAAATCTGAAAATTCAGCAATTCATTTATAGCTTTGTGACACCATAGAAAATTTCTAAACAATAAATTATTGTCCTAACCTGCATTGACTGACCATTTCGACCACCAGTGGTTGTTCTTATCACATGTCCAGCTTCAGTACCCACTCCATCAACTATTTCTGGTTCGCTGTCCTACAGTTAAAGAAAAAGACTTTACTAAGTTTGTAGTTCTATCAAAGCTTGCAAAGTCCAGGGGAACAATTTCAAATAAATGCCCATAACAACTGATTCAGAAAAAGGAAAGAAAATAAAGGCATTGCCAAAAAGGGATATTTGAAACCACAGCTACAAGTTTAAAAAAGAAATTCTCAAAACTAAAACAAAAGTAGCAGCTTACCCTGTCTTCATCACGGTCAACCCTGTCCCTCAATCTCATTTCCAGCATTTCTCTCCCCAGCCAATCAACCGAACTAGATGAATTCTTGAAGCCATTACCAGACCTTGAACTACCAACTCCACCATTTCCTAAACTGGCGGACGCCATAATCCTGGAAGGCTAACACTATTTCCACTAGTTTTCACTACCAGCCAAATACCTCATGCAGCAGCTGCCCATCCAATCCAAGAAACTATCTTCCTAATAGATTCACAAAACCAAGTCAGAAACATAAATAAATCTACTAAAAGAAAGACAAACAAAAGTTTTTCATTTTCTTTCAGCAAAACCTCGGGCTCTTAGGGGCAATTCTTCCAAGTTCAGTGAAGCAACATCTACAATTGCAGAAATGAAGTTAAGCAAAATAAAAATGGAGAAATTACAGCAATTAACATCATAAATTCAACAATTTTCTAGCCATTCAGAACTCTAATTAGATCTAAACCTGGATTTTAAATAATAAAAAATAACAAATTCTCTCCTTTCTTTTAGCTAATTTAAACAAACCTGCAAATTCATGAACAAAATCAAGCCATAATTATAGAAAAACGAAAACAGATCGGAGAAGTGGTCCTTGTCCCCCGGACGCTCACCTGAAAGCGTTTAGGATGAAATCGGAAGCAGCATGCGCGCATTTTAAAGTTCGAGCTTTGATTGCGAAATCCGAAGCAGTTTTTTGAGAAAAGAAAAAAATAAAAAGGAGGCTGCGAAACTGTTTCTGATCTGATCGCTGTGATTTTGGTAGTGAATTTCTAGTTTTTATTTTTCCTAGCGTGTTTCCTCACTTTCTGTTTGGTTGGAAAGAAAGAAAATGAAAGAAAGCGCGAGAAAGAGAGAGAAAATGTGGATTTGTGCTGACAAACACCTGACAAATGATAATGTTCACTCACTCAATCGATTTTTTTTTTTTTTTACGGAGGGAAGATGAGGGTATGGAAATTACAAACAAACAGACGAGCAATAAATAAATAAATAATAAAAATAATGTGAGTTATGGAAATTCCAAAAGTATAACAATTAAAAATAAATTTGTTATAGGTAATGATTTAAATAATTTAATAATAAAATTTTTTTATTAAAAATAAGATATTTTGATTTTGAGTTGTATGATATGCAAGTATGGTGAAATAGAGAATGAGAGAAGGTTGTCTTTTATTGTACAACCAACATTAAAAAATAAAATAAAATAAACTTGTTATGTTTATATATATGGGGCTCTTTTTATTTTGATGAAGTCATATATAATAAGGTAATTATATTACTTTTAAGTTAAAAATAGATGAAATTTTTATATTTTTGAGAAAAAGAAAATAAAGATATATCTAATAATAGTCATATAATAAATTTGATAAAATTAGAACATACACCATACCTCAAATGTTTGTGATTAAACGTTTTAATATTTTTATTATCAGAATATTTTGATTTTTCTTTTTCTTTATTTTCTTTAGTGGTAATTTAAATTTACATGATTATACTTAATATTGTAATTATAATGACATATTATTATATAATATGAGATAATATTATAATTATATTATATTAGTACATGTTTGACTATCAACAAATTTTGATTGAATTTAGGCTTGAATTGAATATAAAGAAGGAAATTTGAAAGGGAGTGCAAGAATGATTAAAAGCAAAGAGGAGTGTGGAACCCATGACAAGTGTTGGCTTTCTCCACCCATCTTTGTTTGCATGCTTAAAATTCAAAGGGGGAAATTTTTTCTTGAGTTCAGAGTGTCTATAAGTCAAGGATGTAGTGGTCCTCTAAGGAGATGTTAGACTAGTGTATTGATAAGTTTTGAATGGTGGAGTGGTCCACTAAAAGTAGTAAGAAAATGAAGAGTGCTGCTCAACCTTTTCGTGCCTACAAAGCAAATCAACACAAATGAATGTGGGAAATTTCCTTTTGTTCAAGCTTTAGGTTTGGCATTCAAACAGCTCATGCTCTTCTTTAATAATTACAAATCCAAAATGATCAGGGGGGTTTCCAATATTGCTTTGAGTCTCCAATCCAGAATATTATACAGGCACCTCCAAGATAAATTATTTCTTTCGAGTAGGATGGCTAGGATGTAGAGAGGCAAAAGTATGATCTCATAAGGTGAATAAACTGTATACACTGTATATAGCAGGAAAGCTATGTCCAAAATCAGTAAGTAACACTGCAAAACAGGGCCTAAACAAGAACCAAGTAAACTTCCACTCAATTAATCAATGTAGTATCACTCCAATGCTCTACAGTCAAAAGATTCAAAACATTCTGTTGCTGGGCTGCAAAAGGTCCCAGCTCCACTTCTCCTGGACAAACCCTCCCTTACAAAGCCCTTGAAATACTAGGGGCTAAGGACAAATGGCTCACCAATCATATTGTATATTACTCAACAAGACATATATAACAATCCTAGAAAGCAGATAGTAGACAGAGCACTGCCTTTATATTCACAGTCAGCTAAAGGATACCATGATCTCCAGCTAGGCCAATGGCAAGAATGAGAGCATTTACCATGGTGCCTCTCACAAGCAAAATCCATCACGGGCGCCAAGAGAAAAACTGTGGTGTCATGTATGACTATAGAAATGATAACCTTTTTCTTTATTTCTTGTTCCTTCATTTCTGAGTGGTTTCCGACTACAAACAGGATTTCAACCAACGAAGTATTAGTTACATGATATCTGCATCATTTACGTCAACTGAACTTCCTCTATTTTGCTGCTGAAATGTTGTTTACACTTCAGCCATGTGTTAATCATGGCAAGAGTCAACATAGCCTCCAGCTAAAGCAAAGGTCATGCTCCACATTTTCACTTGATCATGAGATTCACTGCCAAACACAAAAGTATTAACCATCTTCAAAAGCTGAAGCAGAGAAATTTCTTCAACTACTCAACAGAAGGCATATTTTAGTCAGCTTACACATCAGTTTTTATGATAAAAATTAAACACAGACACTGTGATCACAACTTGGCAAAGAAAAAAGTTACACTGAATTCAGACCCAATTTCAAGAATTAAGTCAAGAGTAAGATACCAATCAACTTGCCAAAAATGCTAAACATGGCAGGCATCTGCATATAACATTTAGACCTCCAAGGATTCAGAAAACACTAATCAACTTAATGTTACCATTTAATTCTTAAAAAAGATACTCCAGCATGCAGAACAATTTTAGTCAATCATAATCACTTGGACTATGATATATTTCCCCCCATTTTAGTAATTATAAATAAATAAATAAAGCTTACCAATTTAAATTCATTAAGAACCGGAACTTGACTTCTGCACCCAGACTTGCTTCTGCAAATTAAGTCAAGCAACTTTTTAGTGAAAAAGCAGAAGATAAATGAGCTATTTAATATCTGCAAACATAATTGTAACCACCTCATGATGAGAAGTACCCCCTCTTTTCAATGACTTCCCATCACTTAAAGGGAAACTATCAGCAACTGGTCCACGACGACCAACATGCTTGTGGAAGCCTATATATACAACAAACATGCAAGTTAGTAAAATGAAACTACTATATGTGAGAGAGGATTTCACAAAAAAACCAACCATTATCTAATGAACTATTACGTCCACTTCCAGCAGTCTTCATTTGCCCACCCCGTGCATTTGACATATCAACTTTCATATCACTCTGAGTCCCTGAGCAAGCTTATGCAGAAGAAGAAACATTGGTATGCAATTCTCTCCAGCAAAATATATTACATATCAGCATTTCAAGGCAACAATAGGTATGACAAATCACTGCCTTTCAGAAAAGCATATACACCCATAACATATTCACATGTGAATGTGACACGTGATTATAGATATGTGTTGTGAGATACAGTCCCTTTTGGTCCAAAAAGTCCAAACCACAAATAACCACTATTTAAAATTGTAATGTTCATACCTTCAGAAGAATCGAAAGTTATTTGCAGAGATTGAGAAGCCGAGGATGACAAGGACTCATCACTTGCATAGGAACCATCAGAGCGGCGAAAATTCCATACACCACGATCAGGTTTATCTTTGATTTTGGCACGTCTTTCATGCTTCTCATTATACAAACCATGTAAATCATTTCCAACAGCCTTATCTTCTAGGGCACCATTGGTATCCTTCAGAACCACCTGGGCTTGAGGGGGTCGAGGAGGTCGTTTGTCCTTCTCTGAATTCGATGATTGAACAGGTTGCTCAGAATAGACACCAGCAGTCTGACTCTGACGACCATCTTTTAAAAGTATGCCTCTAATAACCCTTCCACTGCCTTCACGCCTTGAGTTCTGCTTGGTAGAAGTTGAATCAATTACGTTTTTAACTGAAGTTGTGAGGCTCTGCTGATGCGACATACTTCCAGACATCTACATAGAAATTATGATTGTATCCAACATTAAGGTGCATGGATGAAGGAGCACAATATGGCATATATCAACATAAAACTGAATAATACTGCTAACGTATCTAACTTGTAATAATATCCTGTATTTTAGTGAGGTAAGAACAGTCGTAAAGGTACTCTACTAGAAAAAGAAGAGCCATAATAGAGCCCCTGGAAGACAAGAATGGCAGGACAAGAAGCTCACATTGAAAATTTCTCTCTCTTTTCCCTTTATAAGTAGGACTTTCCTTTTACCACCATCAGCAATTCCAGAAACTCCTGAAAATGAGAAATATTAATAGTTTTCTGGCTAACAAATAAACCATTAGAACTTGTAGTCTAGAGCAAAATACTCAACTAAATTTCATGACAGGGCTGATGCATCTTAAGAAAATAAAAGCAATACATTAATACAATCCCAAAAGATTGAGCGAAAGATACAGTAACAGAAGAGTTCACTCATCCAAACTTCAATCACCATTCACTGGCAATTCATACTGGGGAAACATGTTACATCTCTCAGGCACATCTCTTGTTATTCTATAATAGTACTTGTAAGAATAAGAGATTTTGCATGGTAGGGGAACATCATAATACCACTTTCCTCTTCCAGTACTCCAGTTCCAGTGGATGAAGCAAGAGTAACAGGTTTATCTGAAAGCTTCTGTTCATCCCGTTTGGGAACCAGAATATAAGTTGACTTGTCTTTGCTGCTTGCATTTTTTGAGGAGTTCCTCTTAACATACTGCCCATCAGAAAGGAGAAAATACTAACAATAAACAAACATTTCATCACAAACAGCATAAAATGGCCTGATTTTATTAATCAAGTATATCCATGGTTGCATACCATGGTAGTAGAAGTAGAACCCCTTCTTTTCTCAGAACCTCTCCTGGATGAGGCTGAACTTGGACTTCCGCTGGATGAACCACTAGCTTTTCTGCTTAGTTTCCCATTAGATGATGACCTCTGTTGTAAAATATGAAAGTACAATCGAGATATGTTATGACTGGTAATGGAAACCATTAAGTTGTCAACTATCAAGTTACCCACAATAACTGACAATACAAAGAAGCATAATAATATCTTGTTTAAATTGGGAACAAAACAGAAAGAAAAGGAAAATTACCCGTGATACAACCTTAGCAGCTCTTTTCTGTCGCACAAAATCCATTAGAGGTGTCACTATTGAAGCATCCTTCACCAAACCTGCAAAGCCATTATGGCATGATAAGAATGTCAATAAGATACAAACGACTGAGCCCTAACTCTAAATTGAGAGTAAGATAAATACTTTTCCCATTATCTATGATGATCATTTTAGAGTTATATATGTACAAAATTTTTGAAACTAACCTGCTCGTTCTGCCTCTTTTCTCTCCAATTGTATCTCTGCACTGGGAAGATTCTCAACTGGCTTCGCAAGAAATTCAAGGAACTCCAAATACTCAGGATCTAGGTGATCATCAAGAAATACATATATTTACAAAGAGGGATATAGTGGGTAGATATAACTCCACAACATCTCTACATCAGTGTTGAACTTTTCTCAAAGAAAGAATAGTTACCTTTGGATATAGTCCCTTCACGACCATCCTTTTTAGACCCTTGCTTTGGAACACGTTGTGAAGGTGCATACTCAACAATACTTTTAAACTGAGTGCCTGGTAGAGGAAAAAATTACAGTTCACTTTGAAATCAATGTCCATCATCACATCTAACAGGTTTCCACGTGATAGAAGATACTACAAGGATTACCTTTCTCATTAACAAACACATGCCCATTAAAAACATCTGCAAATTCCAACACATCCTCTGGCCTCTTGAAGTCTATGTAAGCTCTTGAATAGGATTGATGGTTCTGGCTGCAAAACCATTTTGGTGGCAAAAATATAAAAATAACATGTTTACACCAACTCTATAGTCTGAAGTACTACCATGTAGCAATTAAAGTAGAAATGACGACATAATGTTATGGTTAAGCACTAGGTTCCACTATAGCATCTAAATAATTTACATCCAAACCAAAGAATCTAAAACATTGCACATTTCCCTTCTCCCATAATAAATTTATTCTATATCTTTCTCAATCTAAGGGGAAATCAATAGCATGAGAATTAGAAAAAGAAGAATTACATCAAACAGAAGATAGTTTACTAACTATATCATACTGCCAGAAAAAGTATAGAAAAAAGAAAAAAGAAAAAAAAAAGAGCACCATTGAAAACTAGAATAGCCTATATAAGCTGTGCTTAGACCAGCTCTACAATTTGACAAATATTTGATTTTGTGGAACAGGCGGCATCACCAAAAATTGAGCTTTCTAGTTAATGATGTGCAAGGAATACACACATCCCACACAAACGTAAAAACAAAAATTAAAAAAGCCGTAAATTCGGCATTAGAAAAAGAAATATACGCAAAATCACCAGCGTGCCCAATAAGCTCAAAAACAACAATAGAACAGTAAAACGCAACATGGAACCCCAAAAATAGCACGGCAATGGAGCAACAGCAACAAATTCGAATAAAAAAGAACCCCAAAAGTCCATTCAAGAGCAAGCACTAATGAACCCAAAAAATAGAAGAAAAAATATGCAAAACACTAAACAAAGGGCCAAAGAGCCGAAATTCGACACCCCAACCTGGTCTTTCCCGGACGAAAGGAGACCCAGTTGTAACGTCCAGCGAAGACCCCATCTACCTGCTCCACGAGCGTGGCCTCTGAAATAGCCGGAGGCAAGTGGCGGAGCACCACCTTGGTTCGATCCAAGGTAGCCTTCATGACTCCAAAACCCTAACCCTAGAAATCTGAAACACAAAAAATCCCCGAACTTGTAACAGGGTCAACAAACCCCGAGCTGAAAATCGAGAAGGGAAACGCGAGGAGAGTCCACTAGATCACATCTTATTGCAGTAGTTGGTTGGCAATGAAGAAGAGAGTGCCCTAATTAGCCTGAATTGGAGCCCCAAATCGCCATGCATGAGAGGTTTAGACAGAGGTATAAAGGCGGATTGTGAGCGACTGAAGTTTTCGTATAAAT